CAGTTTGAGGACTGCTGCGAAAGTCGCTACTTTAGCCTCAAAGAGACATAGAAAAGAAATGAAAATCAGAAAAGCATCAAAAGAGGACAATTTTACCATTACAGAAGGGGAACAATATGGACGAGGATTGGATGAAATTAACTAATAGGTTAATTTTTACATCATTTCTTGTAAAAAATAGTATATCCGAACTTTGACCTTAATTTTCTCAATTCCATAAAATTTCAACTTTCTGACCTCATAACTCTGTAATGCCTGCACCAAATTCATTCAAATTTTCACAGTAGTTTCCTGTTACATACACAATTTGTGTAGCATAGCCATATTTTGAATTATGTACACCATTTTTTGGATAATTAGAAAAAACATGCACATTTTTGTGAAAAAATGTAAATTTTTGTAAAAATGTATATTTCATAAAATATTTTCTACGAGAAAGAGAGACAAGAAGTTTTTAAATCCGACAAAGATACCTATCGTGTTGAGAAAGTCATACTAAAAAGGAAACGTGACGGTAAAACCTTGTACTTTAAGTTAAGTGGTTAGGAGCAAGTCCTGGCGCCACCCCTGAGCATAAAAGAAAAAATAATGGACTCGCCTAGCTCACCTACGTGAATGAACAATATTCTCGTTGACTTCTCCCTTTTGTCTTGTGTAGACGTGTGAAAGCTTGCCTATTGTTGTTTAACAGAGTTGTAGTGTTTCTCTCTTATCCTGCTAATTACTACGGTTGTGCGTGAAGAGTACGCATTAAACTGGTTGGGACACCCATTTCGGAACAGTTGTGAGGTGAGGGACCAGACTAAACTTGGCAGGGATCATCCAGCCATCCTTTTTTAAGTTTGGCGATTCGTACGTGATAAACACCTCTGCCCAAGCAATGGTGTAACCGTACATGGCTCGTTCTCCTCTTTGCGTGCCAATCAAGGCACCATGCATCGTAAAGTAAGGCGTCGGCAGGTGATCAAGATACCTGCCGTTCGGAAAGTTTAAACACTGACTGGTACAATCTTGCCGAGGGGTTTGTGCCAGTATTGCATGCTCGGTCCTCGGTCTGGCTAGTAACCAGGCCATTGTAATTGCTACTTTCAGCCAGGGGAGAACAATAATTATAATCTCCTGAACACCATTGGTTTAGTATTACTAAACCTTATTACCTTACGGGAAGACTTCAATCCATTCCTGTGCGACTCAGTGACTCCTACTGTCTTACTGGAGGAAAAGTGCTATGCTGATGAGATGACACAGCAGTAGACTTTGTGTCACTTAATTGCTGGAGTTGTCTCTCAGAAAAGTGAGATGACACTCAACACTCTCTGAATAGCCATGTCCGAAACAGACTAACCTTCCCACAGCAACTCATCTTGGAGGTGTGTGAGAGAGATGCATTAGAACAGTCAGAAAGGTACTGAAGGCGCTGATGAAAGAGCAGTCTTTGGATGGTGAGGGATTAAGAAGCTTCGTATGTGAAGTCGAGTCTGCTGTGAACGGTCGACCTATCCCCAAGGTTTCGGATGACCCAAATGATGCATGTTTGAGTCTTCATGTTTAAAGCTACACTTATTCTTATCGACCAATTAAATGAGATAGCCCTCATTTTACTGGAAAAGTGGGCAGGTTCAGACACATTACGTAGGTTCAGATACATTACTTTTATTCAGAGGCAGCCAGTTTGATGGGATGTGCATGCAGACCTAGGGTCCATGTCATTTGTAGGTAGTATATCATTTTTGGTCTGTGTACTCACCACCCATCTAGGACACAAAAAAAGCCCTTTTGAAACTCATTCCAAAATATGGTTCAAAATTTATACAATAAATTTATAGGAGGAGATAGGAATATTGATTCATATGCTTTGCAGACACTTAAAGAGCACCTTTAGTGAGAGATTATTAATTGCTAAAGAATAGGAAAAAAGTTATCCACAAGGTATGAACTTTGATGAGAAAAAAAACACGTTTAAAGAACACAAACACCCATATGAGCAGATTCGATGCACTGCCGCGGCTCTTCAGGTCTGGAATACTGAGAATGGAAAAAACCTAAATGCCTACGCCAACATCAATTCATACTCTGAAACAAAATTCATTACAAGTACCACCTATGACTACTGTTCTTTCAACATTGTTGATTAGTTTCGCTCCTATTCAGGCAATTTGGCACAGAGGAAATCACTATCGATTGCATCAGACACAGTGTTTGCAACCACATGAAGAAAAGTTCAGACATGGACAAAACACATCATTGAGGCTTTGGGAAATGAGCCATCACTGTACATAAACAACTTAATAACGCAATAAGTTATGATGAGTGTAAGCATCTGGAAACCGAAATAGCTCACACATGCCAGTCGGGACAATTGGAGACACCAATGTATGGTTTTTATAGTGCAATAAACTGAATATGGTTGTAGCCATAATTATTAACACCTCCCCCCTCTTCAATGGGTTTTACTCTCAATCCGTTCATGATGCTTTGCCTCTCACTGTCATTGCCCACATGGACCCGATGATACAACTGCCAACTAGGAATGATGTTGAGAGATTATGCTTCGATCTCTGAAAGTTCCAGACGAGACGAAAATACACTACCATTCTGTCACATATGACCTTGCAGTAGTATTGAAGGAACAATTTAATCCAAGCCTTTAAAGCACCTGGTTCCACAGGTTCATTATTTGGTTCCACAGGTTCATTATTTTGCTTGGTCATTTTTATGTTGAAGTGGCAGTTTGACAACCTACAAGTTTAAAGACATCATCAGTAAAGAAACAAATATGGAGTCATCACTCACAAACCTTGATGAAATAAGATGAAAACCTCAAAGAAAAAAAACCAAGTACAACATATTTTTAACTGTAAAAAATGTTCTTACCAAAACGGACCAAGAAAATGCCCAACATTTGGAAAAACATGCAAGAAATGTGAAAACTTGATCATTCTGGAACAATGTGACGGACAAATGTCATACGTACTGTGGAAACCGAACAAGAACTAACAGAGCAACCACAACTCACACTGGATACAGTGAAAATGACAGTTAAAAAAAAATTGGTTTAAAGTGAACATTAAAGTTGAAAACAACTTAAATTAAAAGTGGACACTGGAGCACAATGCAATATACTAACCAATAATGCTTTGAATGAATTAAAGAGTATTACTAAAGTTCAGCCTAAGGTCTAACTTACATCATTTTCAGGACTTAAAATTTCTCTTGGGTAAATGCATAGTTCTATGCGAGTATAAATACAAGTGGTAATTTCAAATAGTAGATGGCAAAACTAATATTGTAATGTAGTATTAAGGTTCAATGGTATTAACTTGCATAACCATTGTAATCGATACCCTTCACCTGATAAATGCCTTAAATTGGTTTGACAGTTTTAATGGTCAACTTGAGTATACAGATAATCTAATAATATAATTGGACTTTGTATAACTTTAACCTAGTCAGTTGGACTTTCTCACACTATGAATCTATGATTGTCAGTTTTGAGCCTAAGCTCTGAAGTTTGTGATACATCTTAATTAGCAGTTTTTTGGTAAACAAGTTACTAAATCATAGAGAAAGAATTTCTCTATGATCCAATCAGAAACTCTAAAAGTATGGGGTGTCTTGCTTGAGACACACCCCCATTACCTAAAGTATAATAGGCAAACACCCCCATATCACTGAGTCAGTAGTAGTCAGTAGTGAGTAGTCAGTAGTTAGATTCAACACAGAAGAAAAGTACAGGGCTGAACCGACTCCACTCTAAAAGGGTTCTCTAACATCTGAAACCTGGAGTTTAGCTGATTGTAAACAACGTACAGTTTGTGTGAATAAAAGTTTGCAGTGAACTAAAAGGAACTGTGCATACTACTCATTCAAAGTCGACAACAACTAACCAATATTTAACAATATCCTGGGTTTGACAGCTTGTAAAATGCTAGGTTTTAGTTAGCATCATTCATAATGTTGAGTCAAATCAAACAGACTTTCAAACTAATAAGAATAGACACAAAGAAGTATTTAAAAGAATTGGCTGTATGCCAGAGGAGCAGTCACTAAAGCTTAAACCTGATGCTAGATCAGTCATTCATGCTACTAGACGAGTTCCAGTGGCACTTAGAGATTGAGAAAACGGAAGAAGAAAATATAAGTCAAAGGACCAACAAACTGGGTCTCTGTGACTGTTAAAAAGAAAATTGGCAAAGTCAGAATTTGTTTTGATCCGTCCAATCTAAATAAAACCCTGCTACTAGACGAGTTCCAGTGGCACTCAGAGATTAAGAAAACGGATAAAGAAATTTGTTTCGATCCGTCCAATCTAAATAAAACCCATGCTACTAGACGAGTTCCAGTGGCACTCAGCGATTAAGAAAACGGAAGAAGAAAATATAAGTCAAAGGACCAACAAATTGGGTCTCTGTGACTGTTAAAAAGAAAAATGGCAAAGTCAGAATTTGTTTCGATCCGTCCAATCTAAATAAAACCCTTCAACAGGAACATTATCCCACACAAACATGATTTACAGAGCAATACTGCTTGCATGAGCAATCACTATACATCAATTTTGACAGTTGTCTTTGCACTCCAATTCACACACCACTCCTACAGGATGTCCCACGGCAGCGATACTGAATACAGTATTGTACTGTATGTTAGCCCTAAACTATCATGACTAGACCCTTAATCCTTTTGTCTCTTTTCACATGTTTAAATTTTCTATACAAAATAACACTCAACATTTCAATGGTATGTGAATGATACACCTGTACAGTTGCTTATAAAAAAGGTGATATAAACTATTTAAATGACAGCTTCTTCCCAAAATTTTATAGTAAATTATTGCATCTTTGTTTTGTTAACAATTAAAATACCAATTATGAGCCTTTGATATCCCAATTACAAAGATCAAATATTATTTTTAATTTTTGAGACAAGCGTTTTGTTTTTGCTGGAGTGGGTCACATTAACCATTCATTAACCGTTACTATGAAAAGATGCTTTTTAAAAAATTTTTTTTTTTATTAGTATGAACTTGGTAGATAAATATTAAAAACATTTGCACTCTTGAGTTTGATGTGACACTATAGAAGTATGGACACTTGAATGGACAACAAACACAGAAACTCATTCAGCTTCAATATACGGTACATCTAAGACTGCATCAAATAAGTCAGTAGTAGTCTATGGGTTCGCTGTTCAGCTGTTTTGGTAAGAGCAGCGACAACCACATCCTGTCGGGCAGACATCCTCTTCCTTAAACCACTCCACCATGTGCGAAGTGTGGCCACCGTGACCACACACAAGGCAAAAATTTGAAGAACCTAATATCAAAAATTTAAATATTTATAAGTATTTTTCACTTCTAATAATCTGAAAACTTTAAATTGAAAACATAAGTGAAAACAATTGTTTCAAATAAATTTTAATATTTATCAATGTCATCATTCTTGAAAATAAATATAATAATTATCAATATATTTAATATTTTGATGTGTTTGTCTAAGGAAAATATCATAGGAGTGATGTTTTGCTGAGAGAAACACATCAAAATAGCTTTGCCGTACCCGCTGTCGATCGGATTCAACACTAGTCACTAAGAGCAAGCTCAGCCATCTAGTGGTTATGACACCAGCCTAGTTATCTAGAAGTCTTGAGTTTGATCCCACTCTGATCTCTTGCAAATTTTTTGTCTCAAGTATATGAGAACGTACTGCTTATTCAGTGCGATAACACATCAAGTAGGGCAAAAACATCACTCCTATAAAATATTTAATATTATCTTAGATGTAACTTTTTTTTATTTTTTACCTTTAACAGCCACATGGCATATTGCACAACTAAAGGTGAATTTCTTACAGCCATCACACTGAATGTTAAACACACTCTTCTTACAATTCTGGCATGTGATACCGAAGTCAACAAACTCTGAAAAAAAAAAGCATGAAAAAAGTATGAAATACCAAAACTTGACATTAGCAAGAGAGGTGTGGAACAAGCAAAACCCCAGCAGGGGTCTTAGGTTGAGGGAAGCCCTCACCTGGAAGATCTGTTTAAATGAACGTCCTTAACACATAAAATTACCACCAGAGGTAATAACCATGGCCAGTTGAAGTGAGGGAGACAACTGATAAGAGTAGGGAAATATCACGACTTTGCGAAGTGATGTGAAGTGTCAGCAAGATTTTTGTTTGCTTTCAAGAATTTGTAAGAACCCAGAAGTTTCCTGCAACTCGTGGCAGACATGTGAACCCCGGGGGAAGGAGGAGCAAACAAAACCTTCATCAAAAAGAAAAGAAGGAGCTTTGAGTTTGGATGAGTGAACTTCCAACACTCAATTTCATTTTGGCCTATAAAGCTTTGATATGCACTACCAAACAACTAGTCAAAATTTATCAGTGGCGGATCCAGGAATTCCAAATAGAGGGGCCCACCAACGATGGGTGGAGCTAAGGTAGCAAAAAATATGATTATGGCAAATCTAGATGGCCAGAAATGGCAATCTCAAACTTAAATTTGATTTTCTATTCTTCTCTAATTTTTTCTATAGTGTTATAAAATAGCGGGACTAGGCCATCTCGGTCCTCCCTTAAGTCTGCCAATTTTAATATGTTTTTACCAAGTCCTGATGTTTCTGCAGGAGGGTGTGTGAGGTAGTTCAATACATCGGCTCTGGACTCCATGATCTTCCATTGATACAGAATCTCAGCATAGATACTCTTAAACTCATCATACTGTCTCCACTTGTTCAGGTCTAATAGTCTGAAAGATTGGAATCAAGCAATTCTCAAAGCTGATGCAGTGGTCTCAAGTTGGAATAAGGCAATTTCTAACTTTATTTTGCTGTGGCTTGGATTCGATTGGATTTATTCAGTGTAAACACCCAAGGATAGCCCACAAAAGTCTAGAAGAATACTTATTTCCAGTGGGGTCCTTCTGGTGGTGATTGGGCAGTACACCAAGAGACAATTCCCTACTCTTGTCCGAAGAGTGTACTGCCTTCTCTAACATGCACATGGGCCATGAATGCACATAGGACCAACAGCTTAAACGTCTCATCCAAAGATGGTGACCTATTGCAACTTTTATTTTAGCTCTCCAGTTGAAACACAAGGAGAGGCAGCAATGCGAATTCAACCGGGGACCTAGTGCTGGGTATGGTGACAGGCATGAGCGAACCCACTTGCCCGACGCCCGGGACAAGCGCTTTTTACAAGTATTTTAGGGACCACTTGTCTGTAGACAAGCACTTTCAGAATAGGCTACTTCACCATGTAATGCGTAATGCTTTCACAGTACTTATAAAAAGTCTTTGACTATTGACAATGCGCAGCATATTTTAGTAACAAATTGTTAGTGCACAAAGAGAGAGCACAAAACCGACTATGCCATGGCCGGTTACGCACAGCACAGTGTTCATCAAGTTAGAGTCACCAACAATCTTGCGATTTATTGACGGTTTAAAAGAAAAAAATGTAGGCCTAATCAATATAAAATCTGTTATTTTCTGCAGTAAAGATTGAAAATTAATTCTTAAATCTTTAAATGTTAGCCAGATCTGTTGTATGTTTACATATTAGACCTACAGCAGACCTACATTTTCCCCACAATATCGTACCTGTAAGCCATCAGCCGCCTGGGCCTGCTGCACATAGTCTGTTTACAATATAAATTCACACTGTTCTAGTCTATAAATACCAGACATATACCAAGATTTTAGGGGCAGAGCCCCAATATGTAAGCCATGTATGATAGGCAAAACTGCAGCATACCCTTCAGGAAATAATGGAATTACCCATCATATTCAGACACATTAGTTATTGAGTGCTGCAGCATACCCTCAAGAAAATAATGGAATCACCAGTCATATTCAGGTACATTGTTTATTTGAGTGCTGCCTGAATAAGTGAACAATCACATTTTGTGACCCTGACCTTCGACCTATTCTTTCAAAAATTAATTGGTGTCTTTCCTTGATTATTATGCACAATCTTATGATGATCCAATTAATAGGTTTTGAGTACTCTTGCTAACAGACAGACAGACAGCAGTGAATACTTTGGCGGAGGTAATAATATTGCACAGAGTAAAATTATTAGAAAAATAAAGAATTAAATTGAAAATACTTGGAATTATCTTGGTGTTCTTTCTCTTCCAATTCCAAAAAGTACTTGTAATTGAAGCGGTAGTCATCGGGCGACTCCGGCCAACTTACATCTTTTTGCCATTCAGCAGTAAAGATAGGATCGCAGCCACTTTGAATAAAGTACCTGCCAGCAGCCTAGTGGTAGAGAAATTGTATATATATTTTTAAGTCCCTTAAAAAAAAAAAGGGATTAAAATATTGCCCAACTGTGATGTCAACTCAGCAGTATATCAGACATGGGGCAATCTGACTGGTTTAAATCTGCTACACCAACAGATCTCTGTGGTCTAGCCATATGCCACATGCTTTGAGCTTTGACAGCGAGAGGTTGCAGGTTCAATTACTGCAGGAAAGGAAGAAGCTATTAAAAGGTCTTGCACTTACATTTGTATTTCTACTGTCCAATAATATGAAATCATCACTTGAAGTTGACCTCCTGAAGTCACGACTATGACCTCCATTGATATGCACCACCTGGCTTTGAGGTGTGGCTCTTGTACCAAATGCACAGCAAATCATTGCAAGTGTCTGTACATCATGTATTGAACTGTAGTAATCAATTCTAATAGAAGAAGCAGATCAATATAGTTAATAAATTGTATTATGAATATTATTGATTTATTTAGGAAAAATATACAGGTATCCCTGCAATTAAAGACCAATTTTAGGACCGGGGTTGCCAATCAATTCCAAATTGAATGATCAGAGGCACTGAGCGTTATTACCCCTGGTCACTGGATAACATATAATGGCAAACCAGCAATAAGTGGAACCTTCTCTGCTCCTTGGGAGTACTTTTTTATTTATTCTTTCTCTATTCTGAAATACACTTTCGATACAATGTACTGGTTTCTCAGTTACAGTAAATAAAAAAAAATTAACAAAACATATAATTAATAAAAGTAACTTAACTAAAGTAAAACAACAAATTCCCATTTTAGAACTTAAGTATACATTGTACAAAGTAAACATAATAGGCCTGTAATCAATAAATGTAACTTGCACTAATAAATGTAAAAACAAGAGTTTACCTTTAAATTTCATTTTAAAATTACAAAAGTAATTACAAATCATGTAAACTTATGGATGAAAGTACAGTTAAATATGAAGTAAATATTATTAGATATAAGAAATAAAATGTATTACAACAGTTCAGTAAAGTGAAAGAAAAAAACTTAATTGTAAATTTCATATTAGGGTAAAAGAGGATTTATTAAATTTTGTGAATTTTGTAAAGTTTAAAATAATATTTTTGAAGGTTGGAATTTTTTTATTTAGCCGTGTTGTGCGCTGAGTAAATTCAATGCCACAACATCCTACCAGTTACCCATTTACACTCATAAGTAGAGAGAGACAAATGTAAATGTCCCTTGCCCAAGGACACAAGCAACTTGCAAAGCAGGAGTTTTGAACCATCAAGGTTGGGAGTTCGAGCCACAACCAACATGCCAACAGCTTCTATGTCACATCCCCTGTACAGTATATAATGTATGTTCTATGGAAATTATTATCAATTGGTCACCTATTATACAAACTTTAAAAATGTTTTAAAACAAGAATAAGAACTTGCCAGGAAGTCCACACATAAAATTGATACTTACAAAGAGGCAATTAATTTGCGGCCAAACGGATGAGCTGCCCAAGGAATCCCACAATCCACATTTTCATCAGGAATCAATGTGGGATCAGTTGATAGCGATGCTAATGACCACAACTTTCAAAGAAAACAGACAAAAAATATGATATACAAAGAGTATAAAGAATAGTGAAGTTTGACATCAACTGTATCAAGCAAGCTTTCACTTCCAGTTACTTATACTGACCAAGTTTAGTCTTATAATAGACTATAACTTATTTAGCACAATTATTTGAAAAATACTCTGGGTCTTAATCAGGTGGAAAAAACATTCTTATCTGCACTAGGCCCTCCCTGTCTCACATCCCCTTACAGTATTTCTACCTGTACTACATTAGCTCCTCGCTGCCTCCTTCACTTGCAGCTTGGACATTCTTATCTACAGTACAGGCCATCTCTGTCTACTTCCATTACAGCATTTCTACCTGTACTATGTCCTCTCTGTCTACAGTATGTCCCTTGCAGTCTGGGCATTCTTATCTACAGTAATAGGCCCTCCCTGCCCATTTCCCTTGCAGCATTTTTACCTAGCTGTACTAGGTCCTCTCTGCCTACATCCCTTGCAGCCTGGGCATTCTTATCTACAGCACTAGGCTCTCCCTGTCTACTTTCCTTGCAGTATTTTACCTGTACTGTAGGTCCTCTCTGCCTACTTCCATAAATAACAATAGCATTCTTATCTACAGTACTAGGCCCTCCCTGTCTACTTCCCTAAAGCATTTTTACCTGTACTAGGTCTTCTCTGCCTACTTCCCTTGCAGCCTGAGCATTTTTACTGCACATCAATGGAATGTTGGATGGCATCAGTCTAGAGAAGCAATATGTAAAATACATGTAGATACTGCACACAGTATACTTTACTACAGAATACAGTTAAACTAGCCTAAGTCAACTTTGCCTATAACTCGAATAATTTCTAAGTCAAACTTATATTACATACCAAATTCTTGTGTTTTCCATCAATTACCAATATGTAAGTCAAATTACCAAACTAAGTCGAACAATTTTTCAATGGCATTTTGTATTTGACTTAGCCAAGTTCAATTGTATACAATAACAAGACTCCTGTAAGGACTGAGGATACTATGCAAGCAATGCTTTATTTTTACAATGATGGAATAACACATCACAGTAGTTAGTTTTAGTTTAGTTTTAAAAAAATGTCGCACTTGCGACTTGCTCATGGTGCTTATGTTGCCATGAAGTGCTACCATAATTTTATTTGTTTAACATAGTAAACCAATTACTCTAGTAAATTAACTAATTAAAAATGGAATTCACACTGACATTCAACAGGGGAATGATGGAATGCCAATGCCATGCCAACATAGTTTACAATTCATTTTGTCTGTCTTTGTATTCAAATTTGATTACTGTACCTTATAAGACTTTGTATTCATATAATTGCAATATCATACTGTATGTACTCATATAATTATTTGTGACACCTTAATACTTACACATACGATTCTGCTAGTTTACGATGGATTGGGAGAAGTCCTGAGATATTGTGCACCACAACGGAACCATGCCGGAATTGCTTTGAACTAGGATCAGAGCCTTTCCTCTTGGATTTCCACCCTTTTGGTCGTTTCTGAAGAAATTTTTTTTCAAATTATTGGAAGTAAGAAATAAAAAGGAGAGAAATGACAGTGGGAAGAAGAACAATGAAAATGTGATGGTGAGATGTCGGATGTAAGAGAAAAATGTAGAGATGAAAGATAAATGAAAGTAGTAGTACTGAGTAAATGAGAAATAGATACAAATTATATTAAACTTTAGTAATCCTTGACAATTTGCTCATATAATGATTTTATTATACAATAGTACTATCTTTTTAGTTGTAATTGTTTAAAAATCTAACTAAAAGTACTACAGCAAAAAATTTGTCTAAATCAATTATCATTCATTTCTGGTTTATTCAAAAACATTGGCACAGCAGCATAAAATTACAGGATTGCATCAATTTACAAAAGCAGTTTCACATGTCACTAATTAATTATCACTATAGCAGCAGCATTTAAGTTTTCTAACTAATTTACTGTAGAAACAAAAGTAAATGTGTTAAATAGAGTGGAGTTGAAAGCTTAGTTATTAAGATGCTTACTTTCTAATACTAGCATCTCTGGTTCAATTCCTGTCACGGTAAAAGGATTTTGTTCTCACAACCAAAACAACTCCACTCTCTCATAATGAGACTTAGTTTATTAAAAGCATCGTGTTTACGTTTGTCTTGTGATGGGTTACCGTAAAACCCCGAAAAGAAGCCCAATGGGCTTAGTCTCAAGAAGAAGCCCATCTAAAATTGAAACCTGCCTCTTTAGATTGCAAAACTAGCCTCGAAATGAAGCCAATCTCGAAAAGAAGTTCATGGGCTTTATTTTTTCGAGATAGTACAGTACATACACTGTATACGAATTTCGAAGAAACGAAATAAATTAAAAACATGCTTAGTTTATACAAGGGGTGGGCACAAAAATCGGTTGGAGGGACAAAGTGACTTTCTGATTTAACAACGAGGGCCGCACCCAAACTTTGATGTTTACAGTGTGCTCCCAAAAACACTTCATGCTTTTATACTACTTTATTCTCAGTTTTAACATTACTTTTTACAGATGGTCGGTGTCAGCCACAAAAAAAACCCACTGTCCGCGAGCCACCGGTGGTTTATACAGTAGTTCAGGTGATTTAATGCCGGTTAATACACTCCCATGATACAGACTGATGTTACAGTGGCCCTATTTATTGTTTTATAGTAGTAATTCCCAAAATTTACAGCATTCATTTTGAAATGAGGCCCCCTCCCCCCTGCTTACTTTGCAAAAGTAGCCTTAAAAAGGCGGCCATCTAGAAGAGAAGCACACCTAAAGTTCGCAAATAAAAGAAGCCCAGCGCTTCTATTCAAGGTTTTACGGAATGCCACTTAGAAAATAAAGTCCGCTTCGGCATAAATGAAAAAAAAAGTTTATATATAAATATAATATGTTTGTTTATAATTCAGAGCTACTACTGTAAGTCTTTGAGAACATTCCTGGGCTCCTGAAAATCCTATAATGTGTATATGTAATTTGTTTTATCAAACTGTACGGAAACAGATTTGAACAAAATTTGCCTAGGCCATTAAAAAAAAATTGATATAGCAAAAAAAAAATGTCTTTCTCACTTTTTCTCTCAAATTGTAATAGTTACTCAAGGAAACACTGTCTTGGTTTGGGTTTTGGTTTTTTAATTGATGCTTGGATGATCCCAATGCTGAAAGCGCTCTGTGTAAAGAAATTGTAAAATAATAATAATAAGAAAAAAAAAACAATTAAAATAGCAATAACAAACATATATGGCTTTCTTTTTAAACTCAATGGCATTATAAGAATGGATGTTAAAATTATATTTCAAAAAATAATTTTAAAAATGAGACAAACCTCACTGATGCCAAAAACAAAGTTGTGAGAAAAAATAAAATACATATACCACACTGCTGATAAAATATTATTACTATATTTCTATGCCTTCTTATAAATATTTCAAAAATATTGATCAATGACAGGCACAAATCCAGTACACTCTTCATACAGATATATATACAGATTTATACTAAACAAATCCCAGGCTGAAACTACATTGAACATACATAGAGCTTTTAGTTTCAGTTACAAAATTGTTTCAGATAATTAATAAATAAATAGTTAATTAATTTATTAACAGAAATAAACAATTGTTAATACAGTAGGACCTCGATTTTACGTACGGTACAGGAGTGGAACGCGTAGGCGTACGTGTTTAGTGTTTTATTCGTCAATCTATGGTGTAATAATAAAGTGTTCATATAAAACCATGTGTCTAGTGTATTAATTCATCACTTTATATGTTTCATTTAACTAAACAACATGAAAACATTGTAAGATTACCTACACAACGACGGCATATTTTGGGAAATTCCTCCCTTTTACTCATGGCTACTCTAAACAACAGGAGCTGTGGTTTTGTCTGGGCGTGTTGAGACAAATTAAAACCATGTGCACTGAACTGGGCGAAACATTAATTATCATTTGTATGCAAAATTCTGCTTACCCAGCTTAGTAAACTTTGTGCAATAAATTCGATCAAATGAATAATTATTTTTATCACTGACGGTAGTTGTTCATCTCGCTCTCAGTCCACGTAGTTTTAGATTATAACAGAGCATTAATTAGGTACAGACACAATCAACGTTGCTGTTGAACGCCACTACTTTGCATATGGTTTGTTTATTGTCATTATAGTAATGAAATAATAAACACACAGAAACTAATAAATCTCTTTTAACATATATGGTGGCCCTGAAAAGGGCTGTTTGTTTGGAGTATTTTGGGGGTTTTTGATGATGAAATTGTCCGTATGAGGCGTACGTAAAATCGAGGGTTTGTATCAATGAGGTACGTAAAAACGAGGCTCTGCTGTATAATGAGATTTAAAGTATCAGTAATTAATGTTGTAATTTTTACCTTGGTGTTGCCTGTTGATTGCTACTCTTCCTGAATGTCCCAGGTCGGTGGAAAACGATAAGTTTGTCTGATACCAAAGAATTCAATTCAATTCAATATTATGGCTACAAAAGCAATCTAGGTTAATGTTATGTCATCTCAAAAAACTTTGGATAATCATTATCAGAATGTTGATAATTACTTGGTTTATTATATATAACTAATAGCTATTTCTTTGTATTTAAAGGGACATCTTTTTGTATTATGTATTTTACATGTATATCTAATTGAATATTTTAATGAAAAATCTAAATTGGATATATAAAACCAACTAGAATGTATGAATCCAATTGGTCTATACAGATATCCATTTTGAGGATCAAGATTAAACGTTTTGATGTTAAGTTTATGGCCCTTTTTTAGCCTTTTGTATTCAGAAAATCACACATAAAAGATGTGTTTAGTCCATCATGATGTAAAAATATTAAATAATTGTGTAGGAATTTTAATGAATTTGAAATTAATACTAACCTACTCCACAAAATCGTGCCCCACATGTCCTTGGAAATGGAATGCATCTATCGGAGAAACTGTTATATGGTATAGACTTCTGTGTAGACCCGTACTGGCTGCCGTAACTGCTGGGACTTCCAACATTTACTTGAGAAATAGGCTAAGATATAAAATTACTTTTTGTATTGGAAAATCGAAATACAGCTGAACTTATAATTATTAAGTCAATCTTATTTTACATACCAAATTTTCACTTAATTAACCATCTGCAAGTCAAATTTTATCCAAGTCGAACAATTCTTCAATGCCATTTTGGATTCGACTTAGGCAAGTTCAACTGTAGTGGGTTAAAACAAATTTTGCCTCAGCACGATGAATTTAGCTACAATAATTTTGTGTTACAGTAGAAAGGTCTTTCAGAGTTTAAATTAGTCTAATCAACTATATATTGGATACAATTAAAATTAAAGCGTTTAAGAGTCTGATCAATTTAAGAGTGATCTGATGGCAGGTATTGAACATTTTCGTACTAATATGGTGTGATTATAATGGAAAAAAAAGTCTGGCCAACCAAACTTTTGAAAAATCTACAGTAGAGATTTTACTGTGAGAAAATATTCAAGTTTTGATTAATTAATTTAAGACCTTGGCCATTGATTTTTAACCAATGGAAACCATTTTATCAGCCAAAATGCATTGGTGAGTGGTTAGCAATGGAACCTAGAATAGGTATGCCTGGCCCAATGCACCAACCCTTATGACCAATTGTCACTGTGCTCCAAAACAAAAAAAATTGGCCTAAATTACTCTATAGACATAATATACAGTAGTTATTAAATTATTTACTCATTGCTTACAAAAGCTAAATTTAAACAGTTTTACATGTATATGTCCTATTGAATTGATGTTTCTCTAAACCAGCCAACACAAATTATGTAAATGAGTGATTTGATTTATGTATGTTTGGGGAATATATCAAAAACTACTGAATTCACTCACTGTGATTTGCATACTTGGAAGGGATTTTGACAACTGTTGTAGACATGGTTCCAGGCACAGACGTGACCGTTGAACACACTGTTGACATGTGTCCTTCAGTGTCTAACGGAAAAAAGCAACTAACAATTATTTACAAAAATGAAAAATGTATATAAATTGACTTTATAATATCAATATCGTTGAGGTAAATAGTGTAGATCCTATGCACAAGTTCATGGTGCAAGTTAAGAACTGCTCTCCTGATTCAATGGGAAGGCTTAAATGCAAATTTCAAAAGAATACTGTTTTTCATGGGTCCCGTATGCATATGGTCCATGTGCACATTAAAGAATTACATTACAAAAAAAAAGTAGGGGATTTACTCCCGGTGTAATGCCCAATTAACCACCAGGACTCCACTGGAAGCAAGTCTCCAGACTTTTGTGTTGTGTTTCGCACACACATTGAAATCAAATCCAATCCCATCCAACCAGTAACAGGCAAGGCTGGAAATCCATTAACTTCCATTCAGTTAAACATAAAAGAAAACAAATTAAACAGTTTTCAGGTTGAGTTATTCATTAGGGTCATACCTTGATGATCTTGGTCTGCTGTTCCACGTCTACAATAGCTGGTTCAAGGAAATCAAAGCTGGGGGCAGCATTATTAGGATACAGAGCTGGGAATGTGACCTTTATCTTAACAGCTGCATTGTGAGAAACAATTACGCAACTTCGCCTTCTTGCATCCATCTGCAAGTATAAGGTCAAGAAAAAAAAATGATTGTGTTGGCCACGCTTGACCGACCCAAATTTTACGAAATTAAGAGTCGGCATTTTAGTGTTTTCTTTTTTCGTTTTTTGGCCTAATGCAACAACTCAATTCAGCATCAAAATGTAAATTGTTACCGACAGTTATTATGAAATTAAGTTTGATAAACTGTTGATATCAATACTAAAGCCTGGTTTTCATACAATCATTGTACCGCGTAGTAGTTCCTGAAGCAATCGGGAAGGCGCCCCAATTCGACCAACAAATTAGCATCACCGAAAGCTGTCAGAGATAGCGTGTCGCTATTGTATGGAAACCAAGTTTGACTGGAGAAACGTCAACACCAAAAACAAAATAAAACATAATACAGCCCCTACCCAAGGATGTGTACCTATAAAGCAATGTAAATCAAAAATTCACTTAAAAAAAAATATGATAGTATCATTTCTGGCTTAAAATATGCTCACCTCAGCTCCAACCACGGCGAAGCTAGGTGTGCACCCTCATTGTAGCAACAACTCAGGTTGTCAGTTTGTGTTGCTTTAGAATGGATGATCTGGGAATGGGTCACCACCTGACAACCTTTGAGGGATTTGGAGGCATTGTGGTTACCAGAGTAATTTTTAGAAAAAAAAAATGCAACCACTGTTGGGTTATATAGCATACTGGGGAAATGTTTCATTTCACCAAGGCAATTTAAAAAAAGCAAATAGAACATTTTCTTGCTTGCTCTAGACCATCATTGTTGGGCTATATTTTGTACAGATACCATTTGGTGCTGCAGGCATTTTTTGAAAAAAAAATTATCATGGTAAAATTATTTTTTTCAGGCCTCAGCGGTTACGAAAGCTGCTGCATTTAATCACTTACACTGCTTTTTTCAACATGTACTTTAGAATTGATTGGCAATGGCTGGTTAGTAAGTTTCAGAAATTCCTCTTGCAGTGACATCGAATGTGATAAGATTTCAGTATCTATGGAAGATCCATGTTCAGAAGGAGTGTCGTCGGCCGAAGGAGTAGCACGCCCACTTGCATTAGCTGTTGCACCATTGGTTGGCTGGTTCGGGATGACTTTTGATGTGTCAGACACCATGTTATCAACATCCACGCCACAGTACTAAAATGATGTAAAACAAAAGATTTTAATTTGTTTATTTTAAATTTTAAATCTATTTCTCAATTCTAATTAGCTGATGATAAACTTCAAAAAACTTGGCATTCTCATTAGTCGTCCCTGTGGATGTACTTTCATAGGTTGATTGAAATTAATTCTCTTTTACTTTCATTGGTTGCCTCTTATCGCCATCTTACCCGTTGAATGTTGCTGTCAATCTTCCAGATAATCAGGTGATGATCACGTGACCAGGTAACCAATTGATGATCAGATGACTCTACAAAGGAAACAAACCATCAGTCAGTTATTATAGCTTCACAACATTTTATATATATTAGAAAAATATCATCCAAATTTTATGTTGTACCACAAAAACCGGAGTAAAAATCAAGGTTAGTACAGTATTTCAACTGGAAAAGTTACTTCTGGGACACTTAGTTTAATTAGCTTTCCCAACATACCTAATTTCCTTTTGCAGCGCAAGGTGACATAATAAAGTAGTAAAAACTTACAAATATTTATGAATATGCCAGTGATGGGTTATTTTAGGGGAGATTTTTCCTTGATTGATGGAGTGCGGGAAGCCGTCCCGATTTCTGAGAGACTCCGGCAACTGGCGGAAGACTTGGGACACCTTGATATGTTTTGGCAAACTAAGGAATGTAATGTTAAAATATTTGCTGAACCACTCCTATATATATCATACAAAATGAATTTTGCTTCCTTGGTACTAATAGAAAGAGAAAAGACTATAAGGAAGGTACTGGCCACTAACTGACCTCCTACTGTCAAAATGCTCACTATACCAACTTCTTCTCATCTGTTTTATATTTTGTATTGTCATGATGACCTATACCTATGGATATTCACTTGGTACACTGCTAAAAAGTCATGGACAAATGCAATCTGGGCCTGAAGCCTGATATTAATGATAATAAAACTAACCATCAGATTTTTTTCGCCACTGGAAGTCAAGAACAACGTCCTTATGACCCTGAAAGGTGTGCACTGGTTGGTGAGGCGTGCTGCGACTCCAGAGCACAAGCGCGTTCTCATCACGCAGTTGAGGAACAGTAGCTGTTAATATACCATCACCAAAAGGCTACATAAAGGGGAAAAAAACAGTTTATAGTAAACAAAACACTATATACAACATATCAACTATATAGAATGCATGTAGGATTAAAAGAAAAACTAATTCTTTCACACTGTATGCTCATAAGAATAATTTGCTCATAAGAATTGAGTAGAATATAACAGGAATGGCTATTTTCTTTGCAGGCTTGCGGTAGCAGACCCAATGCACTAGGCAAAGGCAGAAGCTACTGCTATATCGAACTAGCCAGTGAGTTGTCTGCGTACATACAATTAGCCCTGTCCCGAACTCAGTGATGATTCCCCCTGCTTGTTTCGCTTGTTGACTACTCATCAGTAAGACAGCAGCGTCTATCTGATGGCCAATTATCTTTCAAAGAAAACTGGCTAACAATAATAATAATAATAATAAAAAACAGAAAAATATATGTTATATCTTGACTATGCATATTTAGCAATTTAGCTGGAAGGCTACAAAGACAATATTTTTGAACATTTTGCTTTTGATTTCTGTTAAGAAATGCATTTTTACAACAATTTACTGATAAACAATAACAAAATATTTTCTTACTGTATATCTTGCTCTCCATGCAGCTCCCTTTGTGCGCAATTCCCTGTCTACTTTATGATTATCCTGCACATTCCAAAACTATAAAAGGATAAAGGAATTTTGTGAATGTACTTTTCTGAAAACATTTTGAATGGCAACATATGGTAATGTCGTTGGATTTATATAGTGCATTATTACAGTACATTGAAATCTCAAAGAGCTAAAAGTGCAGACTAGCTCATGCAGGAACTTGCTTCTCTCCTAAGGGTCTCTTTGCATCTATAGATACCCAGTAAATCGGTACCAGCTAAGATCATCTGTCCACAACAGGGGCTGTATGATCCAATGCACAGGGGATCCCCCTACAACCCTCGAAGATGTACTGTACTGGGTTCTGTAAAGTGAAGAGGAGTCAAATTGTGTACACATGGCCTATGGTTTACAGTCCTTATTCAAGAGGACACTACCAAAACCACAGGCGAGCATGCTGTTCGAAACAGCACCGATATTATGGCTGTACATTTAAACTTTTAATAATTACACAGACATGAAACAGTCTGTATCTGAGTTCTATATATCAAGTTTTATATGTCATCAAAATGTATAATGTATAATAAACTTCTCCCCTATACGAAAACATTCCTTTTTATATTTGAGATACTGTATTAGCACATATGCAATACCTTGACAAAACCGTCTTGACTAGAGGTTGCCAGGCTAAATTCATCATTTGGATTCCAATCTAGGCCATGTATTTTCTGAGTGTGTGCTGTTATGTATTGCACTGCTTGGTTGGTATTCTGCAAAGAAATAATAAATGAAAATTGAGCATTCAACATATTGTATGACCAAAAAATATTGCATAATCTATTTGTCTTTCAGTGCACATAATAGAAATCAGGGTATTCAAGAACTTCATGGTCAGGTAAAGCCCCATTTCCAGCAAAAATATCAGTTGTTAAGAAAGATTTATAAATATAGTATGAAATTGCTGGTTTAACTGAATTTAGACATTCCTAAACATGAAAAAAATTCTAGATCTAGCCTTTCCTCGATTTAGGTTATGTTATCAGACATAAAAACGAATGACATGGTATTTTCCATTGCTAGTATTGGCACTTGTGAATTATAAATTTCATTGGAATTATTTCAAATGAGTTAAGAAAAAAAAAAGATTCTGACCGAGATTTTGACAATTAAATAAACATGAGATGCGATGTACAAAAACTAATCTCATTAAAGAGGGCGCAAGTGTATCAAGTATACACAAAAGTGAGAGCATTCCAGTGGATGCGATCTACAATCTCCATCACCAAAGAACAAGAAGTAGTCGAGAAAATGGTAGTCTCCTATGAGTAACAGTCTCTATTTCTCTTATCTTTTTGCGTAAAATTAAAATTTATGCCAAAATGTTTCCATGGTTTATAATAATTAGTGTAATGCATATGCATTTACAAAAACAAAAACAAAAACAAAAAAATTATTTTTAGCGAAATTTTGCCGGGACTGTTGCTTTAAGTACACATTGGAAATTATCATTTAGGTTTTATCAAGATTCTTAATTGTTTTTCTTAATTTAAATAATCTTTATAGCCTGAATTATTGTTTACTTGTCACGGTATGAATCTGTGCTAATATTATAATTAACCTTTCTGCCAAGCTCCACCCCTTGGATATTGTTGCTAAGGCCCAACAAAACAATAGCTTACAGATATGTAAGCAAAGTATTCCGGAATCCTAAAGGTACTATGTTCAGCCAAGGAGCTGGAAACACATTAATATGGCAACTAAATGGCAACGATGATCAGGATGACATTATATATGGATGATGACGACAGTACAGATGTTGATACTAATACTGTATATACTGTAAATAATAAATAATGATGATGATATTATGGATCTCAAAGAGTATATAATAGTGATTATAATATAATAATGATGATTTTTTTTTTTATGATGATGATGATGATGATATTGATGATGAAGGTGATGATAATGATGATGAAGGTGATGATGATGATGATAATGATGGTGGAGGAACAATAATGACTGATGGTAAATATGATGATGATGATGATATTGATAAAAGATATTGTTTTTCATGATGATATGATATTAATGACTGATGATAATCTCATAAACATCATTTAATATAATGAAAAAAATAATTTTTGTGTTAATAATTATTAAATTAACAAATGAATATATACTGTCTCTTATACACATCTAGATGTTATGAATTTTAATAAAAGATGTAGGCCTACCCTTCTATCCCAGAGCCTCAAGTTGCCCTCATGTACCGTAGCCAGTAGATCACTGTTCACCTTGTTCCACTTCACTTGTGCAGCTCCATCTGTTTCAATTTAAATATAATAATTATAATAAATAAGCACTTATATAACACCAGTATCTGTCTTGTGGTGCTTAAATCTACCAAGAACATTTTCCATGTGCAATGTGTTACAGAAGAGATGTGATTTTATGTTCCTAATAATAATATGAATGTGTCTAAAGTGGTGCACAATCTTACAGATGATAGTAGGCTAATCCAGACTTTAGCAGCCACTAACTTGATTGACCTTTCACCTTTTGATGACTGGTTAAATTTTGAGATTCTCTCATAACAAAACAACATATAGTAATAGATTAGCAAGACTGAGAAAACTAATTCAGTGAAACATATGACTTAACAGTACATAATTAAGAAAGTGGTGATGGAACCCTGATGGGTATAATACACCCCTTACACCCTATCTGCCACTGTTGTTAATGTTCTTTTCACAACTGTGACAATGCAATCTCTCTATAATGCCTTGGTAACATGAATATGATGAAATTTTGATGTGTAGCAACTATTTAATATAGGCCTACAATAAAGCAATATCAATTGGAAATAAGTGCAGGAAAGATACCTGCAAACAAGTACAGTACAGTATTGTAGTATTAAATATAGTGATAGCAGATTTAAGATGTACAATCAGTCATAAAGTTAAAAAATGTTATTAAATGAAAAATTTCCCTAATTTTCCTCTTCCCTGATTTTTCTGATAATTAATTTGACGTTTTATATTATAACAAAAACTGTTTCCAACAAAAAGTGTTTTTATGAACAAATTAGGTGAATGGGCATTGAGTTGCCGTGGTAGCCAAGCTAAAGTCTAGCAACAGAAAGCATTTAACAATTACATAATTCCTCTAAAGTGTATAGGAATCCGTTTATGATTATCAAATCGATGAAGTTCTTCATAACTATAAGAGGGCTAATAGTTTTCATGCTACCATATCAACAGAGGCAGGTGCTTTCTTATACCTTTCCCTCATCAGATGATCCTCTATGTAAACAGGAAGTTAGGTGTTATTTACTCAATTGATAATCATTCAGAAATATTGAATGCCTGGAGATTGAAAAGTAAAGAGTTTGATGACGACAGGAAGTGGGAGGTATTGGCTGATGCAAGTATACTTACAAACAGTGTGGAAAGCACAAGATGGTTTTCTTGTGTCCCTGCAAAAAGATATGAAATATCAAGATTAAGCAATTTAATAATATTTCAAATACAATTATAACAACAAAAACAATATATTACACAATATTATATTAATATTAACATTAGCTGGAACAAATAAGAAGGGCGAATGTGGAGTCACTCTAACTACCACGTTGACAGATGGCACTGACGATGAGTATTACACTCATAGTTAACAACAAAGGGGAATCTTCCTTGCAGTGTTTTTTTACCATACTATTACACAGCAAATACCTTTAAAAAGCCCCATTCCCAGCAAAAATTCCAGTTGTTAAGAAAAATCTGATTTTTATACGTTTATAAAGATTTATAAATATAATACGAAATTGATAGTTTAACTGAATTTAGACATTACTAGACAAAAAAAATGTAAAATAAAACTGAAATCAGATTATTTTTTTGTGTTCCACACGTATAGTTTATGTTTGATTTTGCGAAAGGTCTGCTAAGAAATATAGTAGGCGCTGGAAACATTAGCCTACTGTATCCAACATTGCTAGGCTACTATTTTCTATTGCTAGTATTGACAATTGTGAAATATAATATTTCATTGGAATTATTTTAAATTTGTTAAAAAAATGATTCTGACCGAAATTTTGACAATTAAACAAACAGATCTAAGGCCCACTTGATTGACCGCAGTGTGAGAAATGAGAAGTACAAAAACTAACATCATTAGAGAGGGCACACTTTATTGAAAGTACTGTATAAAGTACAGTGTACACAAAAGTGCGATCGTTCCAGCAGATGTAAATCTACAACGTCTGAAAAAATGTTGATAAAGTGTCTTGACCAAGGACAAAAGCAGTATGACAAGCACCAGTCTCGAACCAAGTTGGGAGATGATTCCATAGTATATAATATTGAAAAAAAGAACGATATAATGCAAATGTGCTAATCTAATATTTTCCAATATTTAATGGTTCCAATATTAGGAAGTGCATTCAGATTAACTTTGGTTTGAAATGGTAAATTATGACTTTAGTCTATTACTTCAAGTGACAACTCACAACTGCAGGGTCAATGCTCATTCACAAGATAAAATTTATGCCTGACCAAGACTGGCGCCACTACAAAGTGGGATGGTGTATTAAAAGTAATAGAATCTCACCTGGTATCCCACAAGAAAATATATGTATCCACGGAACATGTTGCCAGCAGGTTGCTCTCAAAATGCGACCAATCAAGATCACTGTAAAAAAAGGTACTTCACATAATATAATACTACAACAAAATTAATAAACTAGACAATGATTTGTGATTCATTTTCGTCCCAAAAGCTAGGCCTCACTAGCTTAGTAGAAGCCACCAATCTTCAGGGTCATTGTAAAAAAAAATTGTCCAGTGGATTTAACTGATTATTAACGGTTGCTGTTTTTATCAACTGGATTAAGGTCAAATGAAACCAATTTCTTTAAAAATCAGCACCAATTAATGTTAAAGCCAGGCTCCGGAAGAAAAAAATGTTTCGATATCCTGTAAAAATTATTTTTCTAAGACATGAAAAGGGTGTTTGACAAAAAACTTGGGAACAATTAATGAGATTGATACAGATTTTAGAACTTTTATATATATTGAGGGGAAAAGATGCCAAAAGCCAGGACAAACATCCATTCGATGAGTGTGAAACTGGGGCAAATTTTCATCAACACCACGCCAAAAATGTGTGAGATGATGTCATGTTTCATCCATTAGAAAGCTTCCGACTGTGCGACGGTGGTAAAATCTATAACATAATGATGTCACATCTGTGCATATGATACAGTTGAGTTTTCGTCATCTGAATTCTATGATGCATTGTGCCCCAAATCTATGTTGTGTAGATAACAGGTGAATGCAACGTCTATCTTAAAATCATGTCGTTGCACAAATCAAACACTTCCTATTTTACAGCAGATACAAAGCTAGCGTTGGAAATTTTAAATATTGCATAAAAACAGCCTTCTCACTCTCAGTCTAATACTTTTTCTGGGGAAATTATTTAAGCTATCAAAGGTCACAAAATACGTTCACCTTTTTTGAGGGAAAAAATTATTTGCCAAATATTCTCTCCCCTAAACAATTTACTTTTTATGAAAAACTGACATAAAAACCACTAATTTTTTTGTGCACACACAAATGCTTTCTTTTTCTCATGAATGCTTTTTAATACTCACAAGGTTATGATTATCACGTTTATTTGCCTTTTCATACTCTTGTTGATAGCATGTTGTTAGTTGCTTTTGGTGGTTCACACTTGCACACTTCAGACTCAAACATAAGCAACAAGTCAAACACTCCAGACACAAATTTGCAAGCCCCGGTTGTTTAAATATTGGCCCGGTTTTATCTCTAATGAAAAAGTTTAGCTCAATCTAGGATTGTGATAGTCAAGCCGCATCAGACAAATTTTGTGTCTACATCTAATGGCTCATACCACAATTCGACTATCATGACTATACGTAAAGGTCGGGTAGCAATTATTATTCAGTTTGCATAAAAATATGCCTATTGGATTAGATTGGATTTATTTGGTGTAAACAAAAAGGATAACACACAAAAAAAATGAATAAGACTTATTTACAGTGGGGTCCTTCTGGTGGTGAATGGGCAGTGCACAAGCAGATAATCCCCTACTTTTTTTCTAAAGAGTGTACAGCATTCTTTAACGTGCACACAGAACGAGCTACTAGTACACAAATCAAGCGCCAATGGCCATCTTATTAGATGGACAACGGCGCTATACAAATGTACTGTATTATTATTATCATTATTATTAGCCATTACCATTATTATTAATATTAAATTGCACCAAAGGACTAACGTCCAACTTCTCATCCGAAACATGGTACACTACTGAAATTTGCATTTCAGCCTTCTAGATGAAACACAAGGAGAGAAGCGATGGGCATTGAACCAGGGACCAAGAAATCTCATGGTTTAGTGAACACACAGTGGCTACCACCAGTTTAGCGGATTCAGCTACTCTGTCTAAATTTGAGGGGAGTCAAATGGCCGAGCAGTTAGCTGGGGGGGGGGGCCTTAAGTCATAATATCGGCGTTGTTTCGAACGGCACGCTCGCCTATGGTTCTGGTAGTAGAACAAGTCTTCTTGGAGAAGGACTATAAACCGTAGGCCCAGTGTATACAATGGCTTGTGTGCACTAATAATAATAATTAAAAAAAAACTACTACACTAAAGAACCCAGTACATCCTTTGAGACGAGTAAGGGAATACCCCAGTATACTGGAACAGACAGCCCCTGTGGTGGACGAAGAGAGTTGCTGGTACCGGGTTACAGGGTAGTACAGACACGAAGGGACCCTTAGGGCGAAAAAATTTATTGATCGAGTTCCTAGTCCACATATCAAGTGCCCTGAGCACCTTACATTAGATGGATATGTGCGCTATATAAAACTAGACTATTATTATTTAATATTAAATTAACCTACAGTAGTGTGAACCTACAGTACCCTTACACTATGATAAGTTGTTTGTCATTGACTATGTGTTTGACATTAGCATGTTTAAATTATACAATATTTTTTTATAAATACTATGCTTATAATTAGCATGATATTACTTACAATTTCTTTCAGATACTTGATCTTGGTTCATCTTTTAATTGTCATTGGCTAGACAATTTTTTAAATTTTTTGATTATATTCTTAATTAAAGAAACAAAAAACAATACGCAATTTCTATAAATTTATTGAGCATGGTTATCATGTTATGGCAGCCTTATAATAATTATTGCACCTAAAAAAATTACAAAATTAGATATTAAATAGATCTACTCACAATGTATTATACAGTATATTAACATATATCTACATTTACTACATTCTGATATAAACATGAACTGAAAGTACATGTGTATGGAATTCATGCTGGGAGATGTATGTGCTAGGGTTTGTTGTGTTACAATGTATGGGTATGTGATGTTCAATCCAGATATTATTAAATAATCACAAGGCCAAATAAAAAAAAAAAGTAGTTTCTCGTTCTGATATTTGGAAAAAAGGAAAATAAGGGCACTTTTTTTTCATTATTTTTTAACTAGAAGATGGCAAATCCAAGATGGTCAATGGGAAACAGCAACTACTTTCTCACTTTTACCAAGTAGACACATTGAAAGCAAATAAAAGAAGCCCTAGACATGATTCACACCATGTATCCCCAACTACAAAACAATCGAGAGAGGAATTTTACTGATGAGTATAGCCAGATTTTTGTACATTTCCTAATAAAGGAAATAAATTGAAAAAAAAAAAAAAAAAAAAGGTGAGGCAGAGAAAAAGGATGCGCGAGGGAAGAGAAACCAGTAATTTTTTTATTTGGCCTAATAACTCGTTAGAGCTATATCTCCGAAAATTCTGTCATTTATATGAGTATAGGAAAAGTGTACATTTAAGCCCAAGGTGGAAAACATGTAAAATGATCTTGTGAGGTGTATAGTAGTCTAAAATGTTTGCCAAGTGGCAATAAATTATTGAAGTATTAAAAATGTATGACATGTGTTCCACCTCTCTTATGGAGATTGTAAATAGTTTCCCTTTACTTCAAATTTGTTTATATATTAAATTCTGTAACACAGTCAGTCAACCAATCAATCAATCAATCAATATCCAGAGAGGTGCAATGGTTGCGTATGCACCCACCCAAATCGAAAAAGGTTCATATTATTAGGACAATCAACAATGTACTATATTTAAAATTTTGTTATTTTCTAGTATTATCTAGTACATAATTTTCACCATTTACAAGGCTGAAATACAGTAGCTAACTAAAAAGGCTTGAAAACCCCAATAATACAGTACTGTAAACTTCAATCCTACCGGCTCTTCCCCTTTGACCCCACTGCGGATTATATGACATCAATATCCCATTTTTGCATACCCACCATTGTCCGGTGTATGCTAAAAATGGCCCCTGAAGGAATCGTCCCCAATTAAAATGGCCCCAGTAAAATTGGCCCCAAATGACAGGTACTGTACGTAAAAATGGCCCCAATGACAAAAGTTAAGTAATAAAAATTACTTGATTTTTATTAATCTGCATACTATTTAAATGCTGTATAATAGCAAAAATTGAATGAATAATTATTATCATTTTAAAAATAAAATAATTTTAAATAGTTTTTAAAAATAAACTAAATGTCAAAATTGTGTGAAAACTAAACTATAATTTAATTGGTTAATGTTTTCTTTTCAAAGATTTTAATTGGTTGATAATCTAACTGTAGAGCCTAATAAGTAAAAATCTATAAAAAATAAAGTTATTGATTAAATTATTTTTTCAAAATAACAAACAATTTAAAGTAACAATCTATCTCATAAATTCCAAACAATTTGAATTACTGCATTTTATAATGTACAAAAATATGTTTTTAAGTTGTATAATTTAAATAGAAAGATGTCATTTATTACTTATTTTTTAAATCTATGGACTATTTAATTCATTTTCAATATTAAATTCCTACAAAAAGTTGGCAAATTATTTGGCATTCTTTGTAAAAAAAAATAGTTTTAAAAATGCAAATGATTTATTTATTTTGCAACAATCAATAGAAAGAGTTTTTACTGGATTTTTATTATTTGGGCAATTTTTACATACAGGGCCCTTTTTTGCCTACAACCCCACTGCCAAAATGGCAATCATGCAGACAGCCCTACAATATCACCAAGCAATCAGTGGATAGATGTAGATCGTAATTGTTATTGTCGTGATGGAATAATAGACAATAACTGGACTTGCGTCAGGAGAAACATGTATAGGTGTAATTTTGCCTACCTGACGTGGAAATGTACCGAATACTCGGTACATTTGAAAACAACTGCGAAAAAAATCGCAAGTTGTTCTCGGGTGGGACTCGAACCCACGATCTCCAGATCACTAGCCTGGCATCATACCTCTAGACCACCGAGCTTGTGCCTGATGGCCAGGGTTGAATTCAAGTCCAAGTAAGCAGCGGGTACTGCAGTGTTGATAGTAATTGTTATTGTGGTGATGGAATAATAGACAATAACTGGATAGATGTAAATACAGTACATCTTTAGTAAATACTCAATTTCTTACAATAGCTTTTTCAACAAAAGAAACTGTCATCTATACTACAGTGATCGATATGGTGGTGTTTTGAGTTGTTTGTACTGTTGTTAGGCTTGTTCAGTGCAAGCTACTACATTAACTGCATTGTCAATTGTCTCCAT